CTGACTGTGTATGTGATAGATGACGCGCAGGTGATCCCATCTTTACAATGGGCGTATGTCTGTATGTCTATATGTGTGTGTGCTATTATTCTCTTGGGTGTGTGCGTGCGTATCTGTGTAGGCGGGGGTGGGGAGGTTGGTAAATGGTATGGAAAACTAGGTTTTTTATCACTGTTCACCAAGGATATCACTCTACGTTCCCTCTACCAACCACCCACCCATCGCTACCTACGATCACTACCAATATCATCACTGTTAGTAACAGAATAATTTATACTTATGATTTATTTGATGTAAAAAACAACAACAACAGCATATTCTCCTGTAAACTTTGACTACTCTAGGATCGCATAGTAAGTATTCCAAAGAGAAATCGGAGAATACGAGCATCATGTACTAATACTGCTACTACTACTACTACTACTACTACAGTGGGTGCCTATATAATATAATTGTATTGGAAAACATGAATAGCATAGCAATAGAGACTAACATTCTTTTGTGTGTTTGTGATGGTGTTTTCGTGTTTTTTTCCCCAGACTTCTGCTACTATTACTACTACTACTACTACTATTCTTATTACAGTCACTCAGACAAATGAATTCGTGTGTAGGAGATTCTCGTCTCTACATTATTTATATTATATATTTTCACCTGTCATAAGATAAGTTTAGAAATTATACTATTCCTAATTCCATTATGAGCTGACATCGGTTAGAGAACTACTGGAAAACCTGGAGGTACTGGACAACTGTTTCGCCCTAGTTTGAGACCCTTCATCAGTACGCACCCACTGAGGTTTCAACGCGGGTTAAATGAGAATTGAGGAAAATATGATAGTGTATCGCTTCGGATGGAAATTCAGGTAGAACAGTGATTCAAGTAGACCGCCGTAGACATGGATAAAGCCGGAAAACTTATTAAAAACATCCTGTCTGTTAAATTCTCCTTTCATGATACATTTTCATTCCAACAGTTCAGTATAACTGGTTGGAGGATTTCATCATAAGCTGCCGTCGGTGGCACAGTGGTTAGGACTCTCGCCGACCATGCACATGGTTCGAGGTTCGATCCCCTGCCGACCACACCTGATATCTATGGTCGGCCTGTAAAATTTGGGCTACCGATATCACATGCTGAAAACTCCATACCTGTACCAAAATATACGGTGTGAAATCAAGCTGTAATAAAAACAAACGATTGGAAAATCGGCCAGACAACTGCCTCGTTAGCCTAGTTTGGGACTCTTCATCAGTAGGCGTTCAAACCCACAAACTTCTGGTTACAGGGCCAGCTGGCTGGTAAACCACTGAACCACTGGGACTCGCCTGATCCAATGGCCAGTCAATGAATTCTAACTTCTGCTACTTCATGACATAGAGCGACCACTTCGCGCAATTTCTTCTTCGATGAGTAACTGTTCTTGGCTTCGACCTGCTGTAGGCTACTGGTAACGGCTTTCCACTAGAACCCTAGGTAACCACCTACCTGAATAGGGCCAGTCGTTAGTGAGCATCAGATCAATTGTCAAGTATTGGTTTATAGAGATGTTTTCTGATTGGTTGGAGGATTTCATCATGAGCTGACATCGGTTAGAAAACCATTGGAGCCCGCCTTGTAACCAGAAAATCCTGGGTTCGAACCGTGGCGGAGGGATGCGTACTGATGAAGAGTCCCAAACTAGGACGAAACGGTTATCCATCACTTCCCCACTGGTTTTCCAATGGTTCTCTAACTGATGTCAGCTCATAATGAAATCCTTCAACCTATCAAACAAACCATTAAATTATAATATGCCCAATTCATAAACTGATGTCTACCTATTTATATATTATCACGTCTTGGTTTTTAGGCATTCAATTTATTATAGTGCGTCGGTAGCACAGCGGTTAGGACTCTCTCCGACCATGCACATGGTCCGGGATTCAATTTCCGACTGACGGAGCCCCCTTCCAAACCTCGCCAAGCCAGTAATAAGACTGGTAAAGGGGGAAGGTTGGACATGAGGCTGGCTAGCAACCCCTTCCTGTAAAAATAAACACTGCTACAGAAATTTCAAGGCTCTAGCTTGAAGCCCTATGTTTCATTGAGAACGTGAAGGAATAAAAAAAATGTATTATAGGTTTGATCACAACTTGATATCAGTGAGAGAAGCATTAGGAAAGCCAACAGGGAATACTGGACAGCCAGCTGTTTCGTCCTTGTTTGAAGGGACTCTTCAGTAAAGTATGCACCCATCATCACACAGCTACAGATCGAACTCAGGACCCAGCTATTGTAAAGTCAGCTCGTAGAGCATTCAATCTATGAATTCCAACTTCTGCCAATTCGTAATCTAAATATAGCGCAAGCACTGTGTCGTAGGCGAATAACTCTTCTCTAATCTGACTCGGTTTTTTTTATTCCTTTATGTTCCCAGTGAAATATAGGGCGGCTTCAGGCTAGAGGCTTGAAGTTTCAGTAGCAGTGGTGTTTACTTTTACGGGATGGGGTTGCTAGCCAGCCTAATGCCCAACCTTCCCTCTTTACCAGTCTTATTACTGGCTTAGTGAGGTAAAGGAGTGCGTCGTCGGTAGGGGATCGAATCCCGAACCACCTGCGTGGTTGGTGAGCACTCTACCGCTGTACCACCGACGCACTAATCTGACTTGGTCGGAGAAATAATTGAAGAAGTATATATATATTATTTATTTTAGTGTGGCTTATAGTAATCTAGTAGAGGATACTATAATTGATGGGTTTGACCTTCAGTCGAAACACCAACATTCACTGAGATATAATAAGACCAATTAATAAGTCTCAAACTGAAAGAAAGCTTGTCTCCTGCAGATTAGCAGACTATATTGTAGCTTACTTAGACCCTTTGGAGCACATAAAATCGAATGAATCTAGTTGCGGTCATAAGTGTTTGTCATCTTATGTTCATGAAGACTATATAATGGTATATATTAGTGATTGATACGAATAGTTGCAGACCACTTGCATTAAACAGAACTGTTTACTAACCAGCCAAAAATGAAGCGACGGAATTGTCAGTCGTTTGAGGCTAAGTTTAACAGAAGTGTATCTGGTCTGACTAGGCTTAAAGAAATGAATCAATTCAGACCACCCCTTTGTCATTTATCGTGTCAAGTAGATCGATCACATATTGTGAGATGAATATTTTTAGCTATCATGAGAAATCGTAAATTTTCATATCAAACTGTGTAATTTGTAAGCTATGGAGTCTCCTCTCATTCTACTCCTAGCTGATTGCTTCACGGTGAGTCTCGAAAGCAACTTCCTGGATCCTTTCATCCGTCGGCTGCATTTATATAGAGGATAGGTAGATGACACGTTCATAATTTGTGATGAAAAATTTGATTTAGAGTATCTCCACAAGACCTTCAACGCAGCATACCCACCAATAAAGTCCATATGAGAATGTGAATCATTCATGCCATTTCCATTCCGGGATGTATTGATTTCCAGAAGACTAGACTGCTCGATTCAAAGATCAATATATCGTAAACCACCATGGACTGGACAATTTATCAACTTTCAGAGGTTCGTCCCACTGATCCGATAGCAAAACCTACTGCGTACACTATGCTAAAGTTCTAGAAAAATCTGTCTAAAAGACACAATATCAAATGAACCAAATTCATTACTTGAAATCCTACTACAGGAAATGCCTCCGTCGCAGAAAATCACATTTATTCCTAAGAAAAATCTCTTTATGAACCTGTAATTCAAAGGGGATACAGAAGAAAAAGATCTTAGAAACTGCCTTTCTAAATGTCTGAAGAAGACATTTCAAGCAACGAGCTCACGCATCACATTCCCCAGCAGATAAATTATCCAGTCTAACATTAAGGAACTCTTCAACAGTACTCACTCATTACTCCGCCCATAAAGGAGCGAATTCGGGAACTTCAAGCTCAAACTTCAAACCAAGTAAATCTCTAGAAACGAAAACCTGAAAATTAGTCTGATGCTCTCTAGTGACTGACTATAAGATGAAATTGACTGGAATTTCAGTGAGAAGTTATGACCACTGGGGTATACCAGGTTGGATGTGTGAACAAACACTTGCCGATGTTATCGACTGGCATGCCGATAAAAAACAGTGAATTGGCAGGAATCAGAATTCATGGACTGGTTATTGGATTCTGTCTCAGTGTTTGAATCGTCTATGAGCTGGATTCGTGACTGTGGGTACTTAATGCTGATGGGAGCCAAATAAGGACGAAACAGATGCCTAGTTCATCCTGTTGGTATACCAGTTCTTGATGAAACTTGAAATTAACTGCAAGTTGGAATCTAAGGTAATGTGAAGGAAGCCCATATCCTCATAGAGATTAATCTAATTGATCAGATAAGATGCGCAGGTGGAAAAGAGATCGCAAATACAGACAAGGGATTCAAAAAAACTCAAAGAAATAGTCACTCATACCTTTGTAGGGCAGAGTTCTATCTTCATTCAGCAATCTAATGCATAACAGTTGTGCTTTGTTTTTACGTTTAAAACGATGACTTTGGTTCAAAGTAGGGACACGAATATCTACTAGGGGGCAGGTGAATCCGACTGATGAGTTAAAGATAAGATGAAAACCACCTCTTAGACTCGAATAAAGAGGATATAAACAAAAGAAATACTTCTACTGAGACACCGTTACCAGCATGGTCCACTAAGCCCGGTAAGAAGATAAATGGCAGAAGCTGGAATTCATGTGATGTCCGTTGGATCGGATTCCAGTCACTGAGTGGTCTACGAGGTTGCCTTATAACCGAAAGGTTGTGTGCTTGAACCCTGGCGAGTGCATATTGTGTTGAAGAGTCCCGAAAAGGGACTAAACCGCTGATGTTCAGCAGTTCTCTAACTGATATCAGCTCATAAACAAACCTGTAATTATTATCGGTATCATTATTATTATTATGAGTCAGTAAACATAAAAATCAAAATAACCGCTAAAAATATTCATTGTACATTGAACATTTAGTGTATTTGAACAACTTACTTGTCTTTCAGTTAAATTCAGCGCTACAGCAATTTCATATCTTCTTAATCGTGTTAAATAACTGTGTATAGTGAATTCTTTTTCTAATTCACATATTTGTTGTTTAGTAAAAGCGGTACGTTCTTTACGCGGTTTATTCATACTGATATTGTTTAAATTATGATGTGATAGTTGACCTTTTTTCCGACTTATTGTTGGCAAGTATTCATTTTGACTTTGTGTATCATTATTGTCATCATTATCATCATCGACAAAAGAGTGGCGACTGACACCATCGTCGTTATCGTCGTCAATATAGCCAGGATCTCCATAACCACCTCCTCTATCATCATTGTGACGACTGTTCATCACATTCTTTAGAGTTATGTCTGATATTCTTTTTCCATCATTCGAAGTGGTAGTAGAATTCGACTTAATTCTACTATTATTGTCAATAATTTCATGATTGCCGCTGTCGTCGTTATTTTGATAGGGATATTCAGTGAAATATTTATCCTGAGAGTAACTACTTAAATGGTTATTGTTAGTAGTGGTAGTGGTAGTGGTATACTTACACTTTTTAAAATCAGTTGTTTTTGATTCTTTTGTGTGTGAACGTTTACGTGATGAATTACAGGTGGGTTTAATGTCATTATTCCTGATACTAATAATACTATTACCACTAGCGTTATTATTACTACCATTGAAATCCCACTGTGGTGGAAGTAATGTTCTAGGGGAATGTGACATCGACGATATCATTGTTGTTGTTGTTGTTGGTACTGTTTGCAGTGTTGAAGTTGCTGTTTTCGTGGTTATAGCTGTTTCAAGGGTTGATGGACTCCCTGAAATAGATATAGAAAGACAAAAAAATGCAAGAAAAAAATCTGTCTGAACAGGAAAGTTAAAATGAACTTTGTAATGTTATGAAAAAAAACGAGTTTGGAAATCTGCTGCATTCAAAGGACACAAAGAACAAAATTCGGATATTTAACACGAACGTTATGTTAGTCATCTGTACTTGGTTGGTGTGTCACGAAAAGAATTCTTAGCAGACTTTTGTCGACAGCTGCACCCTTCTCACCATACTAAAGATAAAATAGCCAGCCAGAAAGAAATAGTGACAAGAAACCCTAGGGATGAACCATTTGAGATACCTACTGTTCAACAGATATGTCGACTATCACGTTCACTTAAGAAAACCTTCTTTGCGGCTGAACTCCGACTAACTTTCTCCACAAAGTCTAATGATTCGTATGAGCGTGAAGGATAAGCTACCACTGCTGCCCTCATCAATGTGTATCTACCAATTCACCTGCCCCACATGTGGAGCCAGGTATGTCGGCCGTATCCAGCGTTCGCTATCCAAAACGTATCACCGAACACTTACCAGCATTGGTTTTACAAAGGAGAAAAACGATGCCCCCATGCAGCTCTATCTTAGAATATCTGATAGATTCCGGACACCAAGCTACACCCCCCCAAACAAACTTCAAAGTTGTCTATAGAATACGAAACTGTCTTCCTAAAAGTGTACGAGTGAAACTTCTTCAAACTGCAGAAGCAATGGCTATTCACTTGGTAAGTCCTGAACTCTTCATAAAGAAGAAGTTCGTTCAATCACTACATTTGCAATGGACGTAATCTGTTTTAATACCCGACAGGTAAATTCTATTTCTTCCTGTCTCTTCATTTGTATTATTTTGTCTTCTCAATTGTAATATTTTACATTTTCAACCTTCCTGTTCTCTACCCCCACCGGATTTAATTTCGACACCTCATTATCACTGTTACTGACTTGATCAAAGCTCGATTTCTAGTCATTTATGTTACCTCATTCAATTTATTTGCTCAATTTTAGTCCTAATTTAAATGGCATTATTTTCTACCCCACCTCTACTTAGTGCGTATCTGTAATTACCTCTGTTGCTATGCTGACCTAAGTCGAAACATTTTAGTCAATTATATTACGTCATCTAACTTAATAAGCCAAACTTACTTTAGTTGCTGTCTAATTAACCTTGTTTCTATATTAGATCATTCGTGTATTACCTGTATGCAATTGTACAGCTATGTGAATGAATTCGCCGAAAAGAATCTATTCGCTGAACGTCCTCTCGTTTTCAAGAAAATGAATGTAGATAAAACACATGTTGAGGAGGCAAAATTAAAGTATCATTGCCAAAGTCAAGGTTTTTCAAAAGTTGACCGACTTTTTTCATTCCTTCATTCCCAGTGGAACATAGGGCACCTTCAAGCCAGAGCTTTGAAGTTTCGGTAGCAGTGGTGTTTATTTTTACGGCATGGGGTCGCTAGCCAACAGTATGCCCAACCTTCTCTCTCTGCCAGTCTTAATACTGGCTTAGCGAGGTTTGGGAGTACCTCGTCAGTCGAGGATCGAATCCCCGAAACACATACGTGGTTGGCGAGCATCCTACCTCTGCGCCACCGACGAACTAAGAACCGACTAAACACTGGGAATGCTATGAAATGTCATTCCAAACCAAGTCATGTCTGCCTTTTTGGACTTGGAGAGGACAGACACAGTATTCCACTAATTCTCTAGATTCCATTTCTGAAAATCTATACTGGCTTTAAGATTAAGGTTAAGGGTTTAGAGTTAAGGTTAGGATTAGTGTTAAATTTAGGATCAGAAGTTAGGATTATGGGTAAAGTTACGAGTTGGTTGAAGAACAGTGTCAGAGGTATCAGTGAATCTCAAAGTAACATGGATGAATGCATCTATCACGCATGTTATGATTTCTCTACAGAGCATCTGTGTATTTACTGGAAGACATTGTTACAACACATTATCGACGACTGTATAGAACAATATCACGTCTGTAATGTTTTTTAATGTATTTTTAAACAGTTATGCGACTTTTTTGCATCTGAATTCTGATTGGTTGTTCAAGGTCGCTGTGGTCTTGGCTATGATAGTTTAACTTTGTCGTTGAAAAGATCACTGAGTGACATCGAGGGCCAGGCCAGTGGTTGAGTGGAACCTCGAATGAGAAACGACGAGTGAAGGGTGTTGGTCTGACAGCACCGGAGAGGCGTTGACTCACCAATGACTTTGGAAAAAGCCATAGAGCTGAAGCGTAAATTTGATCTTCTCACCTTAACCCTAATCTATCTAGAACCAAACACTAATATCTCCCTAATCAGGTTCACCTAATCCTGATCTGTTCTTAGTCTAGAACTTGACATTGTCTTTCCTGAAGCTAACCTATAATTTACCAGAAATCCTGTTTAATCTCATGACACTTCATGAAGTATACTTTATCCGTGATTGCGTGCTTATTTGTCTGGTTTTACTAACTTGCTGGCTGATCGTTTCGAAGCTGCACCTCTTTGGCTTCCAAAATTTACCTCTATCCTTAATGTAATGTTTTCCAACTCCTATATCTCTAGGTAGGACGTAAGGTTTCATGTTCCAGGGTTTCGTTTTCAGTTTTACACATCCAATTTTCCTTCTTCTTTTGGGTTTACTATATATCTGATAGTAAAATGGGTGAGATTTAGGGGTGTATCCACCGTCCGGGAATCGAACCCAGATCAAATGCTTCCCTGGCGCGTGTTCTACCAGTGGACCATTTACGCAGACGATTTAATGCAAGAATAAAACTTATATATATATATATATTCCCATCAGGAGTCAGCAGGTCACCGGCACTCTAGCAAATGAAGTAAAATGAAGACGCGAATAGGACTGTATTCAAATTTCAAAGGGAAACATACAAACAAACAAATAGGGTAACAATGAGGTCAGCAATATCCCCAACAGTAGCAGACAATTTTATGGATAGTTGAGAACGCAAAGTTCTTTGAAAGCTTAATCCTGTTCCTACGTTATGATGGGGATATGTGGGTGACGTAATTCATCACCGTGTTGAAATCTGAACATAACCATCAATTTTTTCATATATATATAAACTCAATAGCAGACGGAATCCAATTCACTTATGAGTTAAAAAACGAACAGAGTCATGCTAGACTGTAGAATAAAACGAAAACAAGACGGTGTGTTAGATACCAGCATTTATAGGAAACCGACAACTTCTAATAAATACTTAGACTTTAATTCGTCCAATTACTCTCTCTACTCTACTTCGGCTATCTCCTACGGAAGGATGAGCCGGCTTCATGAACATCTCGAATCATCGCTGCCCAGGCGCGGCGATCTGATGAAGCGAGTTCATGAAGTTTCATGGGAATTTGGTACGAGTGATGTCCCCAGAATCGCTCCGCCTTTTGTTTGAGAGTGCAGCTCTAGCCTTTACACAACCAAGTGTGACCTACAAGGCAGTATGAGTGGAGTAGGGAGTCCACTATCCATTGGCAGCCGGTGACCGGAGTTCGGTTCATCCGCCTTTTTGAATGGGGCCAGACATCCAGGACATCCAACAAGCCCTTTGTCCATACGTCTGCCGGTGAGCTCCAGCGAGCTTCATATGCCAGTCGTTGGAGGTTTGGAATCAGGGTTTAGCCATCTCCCCTAGACTGTCATCCAATGGACAGTCAACCCGGTGAAGAGCGCCGGGCATTCGTCCAATTCATAATCGGTAAAGATAGTTTCAGTCAAATGTCTATGTAGTCGGACCAAGAGCCCAGTAAGCCCAGAAGATTTAAATAATGAAATTAAACACATAGAGGAAACATTGCTAGTGGATAACACACCACCCACCATAATTTATTCAAAAATATATAAAGAACCATAGAAAGACTAAAACTAGCAATAAAAGTGACGAGAATAATATAGAATTCAAAGCCTTTGTAGTACTGCCGTATAAAGAAGGAACATCAGGCGCCTTACAAAGGATTCTCAATGAGGCTGGAATTAGTGAGGGTGGCACTTAAACCGACCAACGCAACTCACTCAGAGACAAACTTTGTTGTCTTAAGGACACGATAGATCCAATTAAGCAAAGTAATATAATCTACCGAATGCCAAGCAATGACTGTGAGGTCAATTACATAGATCAGAGTAGTAGGCTGGGGTCAATTATATTATCAGAATATAGGAATTAATTAGATCTAGGATGATTGACCTCGCCGAGTTAAATAATCTGGAAAAAAGTAAGACCATTGCAATGTATTCACTTGTATGCAGTCACAAAATAAGGTGGGACAGGGTGAGAGTGTTAAAAGGTAAATATAGTTAGGTGGAGAGAGGGAGAGGTTATTCACTGAAGCTTTGTTTATCGATTCAACATCTCGCACGTGCAATCGGAACGACTCAACGCCTGTGCCGGAGATATGGAATATCTCAAGGAGTAAGGCTATGTAAAGAAGGTTATGAAATTGTATGAAAACCCTGATGTGATTATGAATGGCAATAAGTTATGATCGAAACGTTATCCAATTAGTGATACAGTATATCACTTTATGTTACATCAAGTTACATCAGAATTATATTCTAAAGGAGTGACCAAGTGCTACGCCTAATTTACACTTGTGATATATGGCCTCCACCTTACTCAAAAATTAGAACACATATCCCATCTTTTATTATGTGAAATTCTGCGATAACGACTCTATAAGAGGTGACCATGGGTGGGAGGCCGACAGGCTCCGCTTTGGGTCCCAGTGGTTTAATGGTCTAACAGCTCGCCTTGCAGCCAGAAGGTCATGGGTTCGAACCCCGGTGGGTGCATACTGCTGCGGATTCCCAAACTAGGACGTAGAAAACAGGTGTCCATTACTGCCAGGTTTTCCAATGGTTCTCTAACTGAAATTTGCGAAGTTGTGTGATGATAACTGACATGATTTCAAACAATAAATTGTGTTCAAATCTTCGTCATCCAGTAAATAATATTGTTTCAATGACTTTGATATATCTAATAAACAAATTAATATGCAATCTAAATATATATTGTGTAGAATAAAGTTATTATTAGTTATGTTACAGTTAAGAAGCCACCAACTAGTTACTGATTCTATGGAGGATCAGATTACAGCTATGCATGTTGATATACAGGAACACAAGTGTAGAAACAGCTAGAAATATGGAGATAAAGAAGGTCTTTGCAAGCCTAATCTTAATAGTATTTATTCAGTTCTATACAGTAATAGAAGGATGTCCCCTTCCAGGATAAACTGACTCATAATATGTCCGCCTTTAACCTAACAACCATTAAAATTAGTACGTTTAGTTTCGGGTATTTTCTGGTTCACAACCAGGGAACAAAAGAACCAATTAACTATGATTGCTGAGAATTCAATTCTAATTGTATGACGCTGAAAGTACCCTTTACTCATGTATCAGTTGGAAGTATGGCTGCTGAATTCAACTTGAATCAATATTATTGTTAGATGGTTAGAGATAATAGTCAGGAAGCTCTGCTCGACCTAGGTTTCATGTCTGTTGGCACTCAATAGTCAGCTGGGCATACCTGCAACCTTCAAGGAACTCATGTCCCTTCTGAGACTCGATTCCTGGAGCCAACCAGCACTGCAGTTAGAAACGTTACCGCCGAGCTCTTCGGGTTTGACAATGACCTTCTAAACAGAATTCACTCTGCAACAAATAAACTACTAGATTCGGGCTTACCACCAGTCAGTCCACATTTTAGGACTGGATCGGTAAAGAAATGGAATTCAGACCTTCCGTGTACTTAACGAATATTCTACTAATTCTTCTCGACTGATAATGCCTACCGAATTAGACTACCTTTATGGAGAACATCTTTGTCACACTACATTAACAAAAGTCAATGTTCCTTAGAACTAAGCATTGCGAACTAAAGAGGGACCCAAAATAATTCAACTGTATGAGCTAAACTTATTGTACGAGGATTGATAGCAGTAATAACAATTGCCTTATTCCAAACAGTACATTCGATAAAATTTGGAATTTTCAGCATAATTAATTACATAATTGAGGCGTGTACTACTGATAAGATTTATCAGTAGTATATAAACGGACGTTCATCGGCACGCAAAACATCAAATAGCAGGCAGATACATTTGACATCAGAGAAAGCAAACGATGCAATGTTGCGGAGATACATAGGAGATGTGAAAGAAAGACAAAGAAACACAATATAAAGGAAGCCTTCTAGTTCTACCTGATTAGAGGCAATAAAAGAGTTGTGTCGAGATAGGATCCTCAGGGTCTGACAAGATAATATTCGCTAATTTCTTGCGTGACTCAGTGTGTCTGTCTACAATAGTACTAACATGTTGGTCTAACGCCACCCTATTCACCCTACTTGGCAGCTTGCTGTTACAGTTTACTAATTCTTCTATTCTATGTATCCTTCTTTACTGTTCCCTCTAAATCTCTCCTGAGTTACTTAAGAAAGACTTGCGGAGACATTGTGGAGAGCACTAACTCTCTTCATGAAAGACATTTCTAAAGTACCTATTCATCTCTCAGGTGTAATAAGAGGTGATGATTAATGAATGACACAGATTTACTCTTCTAATGTTAATTAATCAATCAGTCTACCAATATACAAGCTCATTCTTCCTTTTCACTTTAGATTACTTTTAATCTCATTAATTCAGTATGGCATTTAGTCATATGGGATAGTCTGAAATGATCCTCATTCTGGCTTGCAGGTTGATTGAATAAAAGTGGAATGGCAAGAAATTATTGAGGAGTCTGTGTGGATCACTCACTGGACAACTATTCTGATGTATTTCTAAGTTCCCTAAAAAATTATTCGATCATAAATCTCCGTAAAATTCAGTTAAAGACAATTAAATCTTATACAGAATAAGTGTTACCATCCCTACTTTGCATAAGCAGCTCAGTGGTTCACTATAATGAGATGCAATAAAGCTCGCGAATCGGCCAGATATTCTGTCACTGAACTATATACACTTTTTCGCTCTCCTTTCGCCAGTCAGGTTGGATAGTGTTCACGAGCGCGTTTTTCTAGTTGGCGCATGGTACGGCCGATGTACTCAGCTCCTCACGAGCAAGTAAACTGATGTATGGACGTTGAAGTGGCCTAATGAGACAGCTTGTCTTTCGCGTTCTGGCTGGACAGTTTCTTATAAGAAAACGTCGGCCGTCCAGTTCAATCCGTCCCGAAGAAGAAACTTCTGCTTAATCTAGAATTCAAAGGTGACATTGAAACAGAAATCCTTCGTAAATGCCTCTGCAAATCTCTAAGGAAAATATGCTTTGCCACAAGTCTACGACTGACGTTTTCCTACAAGAAACTGTTCTTCCAGAACGCAAAAGACAAGCTGTCGCACTGGGCTACTTAAACCTGCATATACCAGTTTACTTGCTCGTGAGGAGCTGAGTGCATCGGCCGTACTGTGCGCCAACTTGAAAAACGCGCAGTCAATATAGTCCAGTCCAGGAGCATCATCTTACATTTGACGTGGAATACACCACATGTTGAACATTTCAGAAGACCCTGCTGCTTATATCACCCACACACATTCCAAGTACATCTATGATGAAGTCAAAAGAGGGAAACTTGAGCATGAGGCTAACAAATGACCCAAAATCACCGTTTACGAACCACATAAGTGATTCTTGGTCCAATTCCCCCGGCGACATTCTCTTAAATCTCACTTAACCGGAAAAGAGGGGAGGTTGGGTATGAAGCTAGTAATCTCACATCAGAAGAAATCAATACTACCTCTACTGAAACCTCAGAAGCCTAAGACGTGAAGTCATAGATTCGACTCGGAATTCAAGGACTACTATATATGTATAAAAAGATATGCATGAACACGTGTATTATAAAAACTAAATACTCCCCCTTCTCACTTACTCATATCTATCGATTGATTGTATATATCATTTAAAGACCAAAATTTTTTTATCCTTTCTGAAGAAGTTGTATAATCAATATGCGGCAGACGATCTGTAATCATACTAGACGAGTTATTCATTACAGAGGATAAATTTGTATTCCCACTGGCTTTCAATTTATTCATAAGAAGAAATTCATTAGATAGAGAATATTGTTGTGTATACGACATATCAGACACAGCATTCTTAGCAGTGTTACTATCAAAATATTCATTCATTGTAAACATATTTGGACACCAATTGGTTTCATTGAAATGATGATGATTATTAAGTAGGGTAGAATTTGAATTACTACTGCTAACCATACTACTGATAATATGATGATTATGATTATCAGTAGTCAAGGGAGTATTCATTTGATCATGATCATGATCATAGCACCAAGGAATAAATTCACGATTTAATACTTTCAACAAATTTACATTTGAATCATTTTGCAGGGATCCAGTTGGTGTAAATGCCGAGATTGTCGTTGGGGAAGATGTCAGCAGTTGATGGAATGGATTTGCAGTTTTATTAGATGACGCTAGTGAAATTAATTTCGCTTTATCAGTATCACTGTATCGTTGAGGATTACTCGGATGACGGAGAAATGAACAGCCCACTTCTGCCTCTGCGTCTTCTTTTTCGTCTTGTTTACACAACTCATGACTGGGGTTGCTTTCAGTGAATTTATCGAGATGAAACAGTCGACGGGTAGTTGACAGGAAATCATTACAAGGAATCGCTGTTGCTGTTGCCACTGCTGTTGTTATCGGTGAATAGATTGAAGCGTTCAGATTAGATCTGTGATATTTATTATTCTGTGGTGAATATGTACAACTGTTTACACTATTAGTACTATTACTACTTATACTACTCCTACTATTACTACTACTATTATTGTGGAAATGAGTAGTATCTACCGGAGGATTCGATAATGATTTCATTTGTAATTCATATAATTTCTCATTAGATAAGTAATAATTACAATTATTATTATTATTATTATGATTAGCATGGGAATATACTTTAAAATCGCTACGAGTATTACTCATATTATTATTATTTGATGATGACATCAAGGCGAGGGGATAAATATGCGAAGGGAATTTATTCAGATAGCAGATACATTGATTTGGCGTTGTACAACTACAATTATTGCATCCACTTCGTAGATAAGAGGTTGTCAATGTCATAGAATTTGATTGTAGCATAAATTCTCCCAACAACAACAACAACAAAATATTCACAAAATATCCGTCAGAAAATAATTCGGAAAACTAAGAGAATGAGAGCGAGAGAGAAAGTCAGTAAAATATAAAAATGAAATTTGTATGTCAATAAGGGTTTAAATATACTTTAACTTTCCCTTTCTTCGGACTATATTTTAATTCCCCTGGTGTGGTGTGTTTGTGTGTGTGCGTACATGTTGATTTCCCCGCCCCCCTGACTCGCTTTTGTGATGAAGGGTGAAAATAGCTTTTCAAATGAAACAACGATTCTGATTGGTTCTTAGGGGGAAAATGTGTAAATTTAAGAGGCTGCGTGGGTGTATGATGGGATTTTTTGTGCACTGTAATTACAGTTGTGTGTTTGAAAGGTGCTGTTAGCACACACCAAAATGGGAGAGGAAGTGTTAGAGAATTATGAGGAAAAGGGAGAATGGAATGGAATGGAATGTGTTTCCAATTTTCAATGTAGTGAGTGTGTGTGAAGTCTACAACTGTCTGCTTGTGTGTATGTGTGTGTGAATATATGATGGGTGTGTGCTTATTTGCCCATTGTAGTGTATTTCTCTGACCAATAGGAGTTGTTCTATGGTGAAGATTTTGTAGAATTATCTATAGTTGATTTGAAAGGATTAGTTTTTGTTTTTACGAGTTGATCATGGATTGATATCAGCTAGAGAACCATTGAAAACCAGTTCTGGAGTAGTGGACAGCTGTTCCTGCCCTAGTTTCGGACTCATCGACAGCATGCACCCACCACAGGGGTTCGAACCCAGGACCTTCCAGTCACAAGACAAGCTCGTATATCATTCAGCCACTGGGACGTGATTCAATGGCCAACACACGAACTCTAAATTCTACCAATTCGTGATTTTCGCGTGACTGGCAAAAACGATTGTCATCGGTGGGACATCCATTCTCACTCCCGACTAGATAGACCTCACTGGTTATGACTTCTCACTAGAACTCCAGGAAACTCCGTCCTGTAGCCAGTAGTCACTAGCGAGCATCAGATTAATTTTCCTGTAGTTGATTTGTAAGGATTAAATTTGTTTCTACGAGTTTGACCACAGATTGATATCAGTTAGAGAACCACTGATGAAAACCATGGAGTACTGGACAGCTGTTTCATCCCACTAGTTTCAGAATCATCGGCAGTACTCACCCACTGGCTTAATTATTAAATTTTCAAGGTTTACATAAATAATAATAAAATGAATGTACCACTGATTGACTGGGATGAATAGTTGTATATTGCAGAGATCGAAGTGGTACGAACACCAGAGGGTCATTTCACTCGTTTGAGGGTTGAGTAGCAAACCAGAAATCAGATGTTTAATTTGTGGATGGTGACTAGCGGTGGAATCCAAGGTGCGCATTTAGTCCTATTTGGGACTTGTCACTGCATGTACCTGCATTTCCCTCGGTGGGAACATCATCACTCACTGGAAAATGTAGGCACATCCAGCTACTTGACGAGTCCCAAATAGGACGAAATGCGCATCCTGGATTCCACTGCTACTCACAATCCACCAGTTAAATTCTAATTACGTGACGCATCTGCACAAGAAGCCGACATGTCAACGTGAGACCAAGCACTTCGGTCCAATCAATCGACGGGAAAATCTAAAATTCAATTAAGCAGATATCAGATGGTTTGAACTGATTCAGCTGCCTGAAGTGAGTTAAACTGTGTCCGCTGTTGAAAAACTTGACGCGAAACGACAGAAACAGGTGTCCGATGTTTAGATTGCTTCCCTCTGGCTGGTTTGGCAGGCGCTACTGGGTGTTGATGTGAGGGCTAAACATCTACTCACAACTCAATCAGTTTTTTTATTCCTTTACGTTCCCAGTGGAACATAGGGCTTTAAGGTAGAGCTTTGAAGTGTCGGTAGCAGTGGTGTTGATTTTTACAGGATGGGGTTGTTAGTTCCATGTCCAGCCTTCCCTGTTTACCAGTGTTATTATTGGCTTAGAGAGGTTTGGGAGTTTGTCGTTGGCTGGGGATCGAACCCTGGACCATATGTGTGGCCGGCGAGCAGTCTACAGCTATGCTACTGACGCACTTTCAATCAGTTAGTAGTATATAATAAAAGCTGTAACAACCAAATTTATTTGGTTATGGTCTGAACTCAAGAAACCGATGTAGACGTTCTACTGTGTAGCTGATAAAACTTCGTTGAGACACGAGCTATCAAAAAACGTTCCAAAAGCAGGGAATGAGCAATTATTCTTCAATATTTTAGCGGTTCTATTAAACAATAATCCCGACAAATGTAACATGGTGCTACAGGACTGGACTACATCGACTCCTAACTCAGAAATAGGGAGTGAATTGATTGGTGGAGCGTGTTGATCACTTCACTTATTTGGGAAGTTGCGTTCTGTGGCCTGTGTGAAATGGTACAGTAGGGTAAGCAATATTGAGGTTAGGCGTCGAGTGCTAGGTAAAGAGGAGGGTGAAATCAATCGACGAGGCTGTGAAGCTACATCAAGTGAGATGGTTGGGATATGTGTTACGTATGCCTAGTCAACGCCTTCCTCGACCGACAGTCAATGTTAGCTGACATAGGGTCAGTCTGGAAAAGAGCTAGCGGCAGTCAAACCAAAACATGGCCTCACCAGTCAATGAAATCTACAACAGTTAGTTTAAGCCGCTTAGGAAGGTGTAGACTTACTGTTTGGGTCCTCGGGACGGTAAACACCAATGAAGGGTGGATACAATCGGTGATATGGCTCAAAATCATCGTTGTCAATGGCCCAGATGCATCCACGCCTTGTGAACTATAATTTCCAATGAAACTATATTGTTCTACGTTATTATTATTCCTTTTATCTCAAACCCCTCTCTACTGCCCCTATTTTGCATTTCTTTTTACTTTCTTCTCTTGCTTTGTGTGCTACATGGAGTGTGGCAACTTGAACTGCCGTACATTGGTGCAAAGTTCTGTGCTGAAAACAGACAAACAGAGAGACAGAAACAATAATAACATCAAAACTCATATTTACCTCAACACTACAGGCAAAGTAGGTTTCTAAATGCAAAATAAGGTACTGTAAGACAAAATCAGTTAACCAAAGTTCAACTTTAAAAAAGTACCTTAGAATCATGGACGGGAATATTCCCAACGAGGTGAGATCAAAAGCTCTGACCACAAGAACCACATACGAAGGCCCCCACAGAGAGTCCCGGGGGTCAGAATGACCTTCATTCACTGAAATAAACTTATACTGTGGAACAACACACTAGATGTATCTGCAACCACAAAGAGAAGTATTGGAGTGAAAGATTAAACAAGGTGAAAGGAAAATAATAAAGGTGAAAATCAACATATGATATGCAAATGTCAAATTATTGATACACAGTCTAGGGGGAAAACGTATGTTAATTACAAGGTTAGTTAGTGTCTAAATAAGTATATATATATATTATTAATAAATCATCCAGGAGGGATGTTCGAGACAGTACGTCCATTACACCAACACCTTTCTTGATTGGTTACAAGATTCATCATGAGCTGACATCGGTTAGAAAATATTGGAAAACCAGCTGGGAGTACTGGATAGCTGTTTCGTTCTAGTTTGAGAGTCTTCGGCAGTGCGCACCCGTCTCCAGGGTTCGAACCCAGGACCTTCTGGTCACAAGGCGAGCTGGCTCGTAGACCATCAAGCCCGGTGGATAAGTATTGCTGAAGAGTTCCAAAAATAGTCTGATGAAACAGCTGTCTGGCAGCACTCACTCCCAGGTGGTTTTCCAGTGGTTCTCTAACCGATGTCAGATTATGATGAAATCCTGTAATCAATCAATCAAATCCCTAAAAACCAATACTTGAGCTATCTTGATTGCTAATTATGGTACCAAGTAGATCACATATTTTATCACATGAATAGTTTTGGTTTTCAAAGGAAACTATGGCTAAAGTTTACTTCCTCCTTGAACTGTAAACTGCAAATGCTTAATTAATTTGCAAACTTCAAAAATGATTTTCTTCAAGTTTTGGTTTACAGGGATTCAGTTTACTTCAAGATTCCGATGGTATGCAAACTCATCTTTTACCCTGAATGTCCAGCAAAAGAAAAATTGAAAATTAGTCTAGTTCCGACCAGTGACTCATTGACTACGCAACGGAGTTTTCTAAAGTTCTAGCGACAGAATTCATGGTCAGTGGAGTCTACCAAGTTACTGGCGTGAGGATGAATACTCGCCACTGATACTGACTAGTGGTCGAAAAGTCATAAGGTTTATTTCGTAACTGAAGGTTCTGAGTTCGACCTTCCGCCATGTGGTGATGAGTACATACTGATGAAGAGCCCGAAACAAGGATGAAATGGTTGGTTGTCTGGTTCTCTCTGTTGGTTTTCCAATGGTTGTCTTTCTGTACTCAGCTCGTGATGATTCTAGAAATGTTATTACTTTGAGCATGCGAGATTTATTTGATGTTTCAAGGGGTATTTCTTCACAAACCAACATTAAAAATGAGATGAACACTGATATCTGTTTCTTCCTAGTTTGTGATTCATCAGAATAAGGTATCCACGACCTAATCAAGGATTCCTAAAAATGATTATTCAAAAACTTATTATTATTGAAACTAATTCATAAGTGAAATGCGAAGTTAGATAGTGTTGAGATTAAAACCGATGATCTGTACTGAGTACTTACGAATAGTCTACAAGAGAACTGTTTAACTATCATATGTCCGTTTCATCACGAACCAGCATTAGTTAGAGAGATCACTGAAAATCACGAAGTTCTCGGTAGCTGTTTCGCATTATTTTCTCACTCTTCACCCTAGAATCCTTCCCCACCCGGAACCTTTAGTTAACGAGCTAGTGGTCGTGCTAAAATCGCGAATTGATAGAAATTAGAATTTATGGACGGGCCATCGAGTGGCATGCTCGCCTTGTATCCGTAAAGTCGTGGGTTCGAACCCCCTGTTGTGGGTGCCTAATGCCCATGACTCCCAGACTAGGGATGTTGATAATTAGTTCCTGAATCTCCTTAACGTATATGGCTGTTTATAATTTTTAAAAACAAATTTTATTGTTTAAAAAAAATTAAATAA